GGATGAAAATCCCATCACAGGACGTCCGGGCGAGTTCCATCTCTCGTCTACCGGCCGCAAGGCAGTACCACCTCCTTCAGCCGCTCCCACTGGAATCAGTGCCATGAACGGACCCCCAACACTAAACACCAAGCTGGACGACAAGAAGGATCCCAAGTCAGATAAAACGCCAAAATCGGCAACAGCGCCCAAACTTAAGCGGAGGAAGAGCAGGATGAGTACGAGCGGAACCCCGGCGACAACCCCTGGAGCATCTTAGATATATCATCGTGTACACATATAGAAAACGCTGTTGTTTTTTTGGAGTTTGGTATAGGGAGTCCAGGATGTTTAAAATTCGATACCCAGTATAAAGGTCATAAATCATAGGTTGAACTTGTGCTATTTGCTTTCATTGAGTAATATCTACCGTTCAAAGACTCCAACGCCCATTATACTTTTAAATGCCCAGTATTCTATTCGACAACCCACCCCTTGCCTGCCACCTTCTTTTGCTTGACCTTTTGAGCTGATAATGGCCAACCCTGACCAGGCGTATTCTCCGCCCGCAGATATGGAATAACCCAACACTCCCTCGTCGTTGCTCCATCGGTCAAGGACGGCGCCTTCACCTCCTTGATGGGCTTGCCATATGTCAACAGGGGTGTCCCCTTTGCCAGACCTGCTAATTGTCCTGCTGTCACGTCCGTAAGGGAATGCATTCTCGCCTTGGGCTTCTTATTTGAGTCCACGCCCGAAGGGGTCGCACGTTGCAGGAAGGCGTATATGATATACTCGGGACACTCCTGAGGACTCAGATGTGCCAAGGGAGAGGTTGGGTGGATGTAAACACATGGATCCTCGCTGCTACCGCTCCCATTCAATGGGATGAGAGGTATATAGGGCACATCAATCGCCCGGCGAGGCTTCCTGAACTGCTCAGGAGGGTTTGGTGCTAGGTCGGCGCGAATAGCGACTTGATCTATGAATCCTGCCGCCGCCATTTGTTTAAGCGCGCTGACCTGCTTCGGTGAAGGGGGATCTAGTTTATCTTGGTACTTGATATTCTTGAAGGAAGCAATGTTTGTCCGCAAAAGATCGGTGATCTGTCTGCGCAACTGCTGGATTTCTTTAAGCACCTTGTAACGGACGAAATGGCTCTCACACCATTGCTCAGTAGGCTCATGGGCAAACTCGCCAACAACTTGGAGCAGCTTGATGGCATCGGACTTGTCATCCAAGAAGCAAAAGTTCTTGTGCACTTGGTTGAACATGCGTCTCACGTTTGCTTGACGATCTTCTGCGATTACGTCTGCTGTCGTGCGGATGGCAGTATCCTCCTTGGCAGTCAAAGCTGGAATTGCCTGGTTTTCGTGAAGATAGACTTCTGCGGCTGAGAGGCCTGCCACCAAGGCAATAGTGTATGGAAGACAGTCGTGAAGATGTCCAACAAGAAGAATGCGTGCAAACCTAGGAGATAGTGGGAACACGGACATTGTTGTGCCAACTTTGGTGACTTGCCCGCTTGTGGAGATGGCGGAAAGGTATGTAAGCAGTTTCTCCGCATTTGCCAGACTTCGTCGATCTGGAGGCGTAGGGAAAGGAAAGTTGACCACATTTTGAAGATTCATCGCCTTTAGCTGCAAAACAACGCCTTCAATCGGCATCCGAAGCAGTTCGGGATCTCCAAATTCGGGGAAGTCTCGCTCATAAACAGCAGAGGAGTACAATCTGTAGCAGTGACCAGGTCCAGTTCGTCCAGCACGACCAGAACGCTGGTTTGCACTGGCCTTGCTGATCCATCCAATTTCGTAGCTCTGGACGCCGCTGAGGCGGTCATAGTTCCTTTCTTTTGATCTTCCGCAATCAAACACAAATCGAGTCCCCGGGATGGTCAAACTGGTTTCGGCAACGTTTGTTGCGAGAATGATTTGTCGAGTCCCTTCTGGTGGTTCCTCGAATACCCTCAACTGTTCTCTGACTGGAAGCAGCGAATAAAGAGGCAGTACCTGCATTTTCAGGGGTACCACTTCTTGGTCATCTCCATCCTCAATTTTGAACTCGTCTTCTTCCTCTTCATCCTCGGATGGAAGATCGTCCATTTCATCTGCGGCACGATCATCGACATCTCCAAACTCGATATCTTCGACCTCCACTGGTGCCTCGGTTGCTGATATCTGTACCTTGGGGCCGTCTGCGGATCTTGGACCTCCAAAAGCGGTTTTGAGTTTCTTACTGAGCTCCAGGATCTCATTTCTACCGGTTAAGAAAACCAAGAAACCTCCAGGAGGCAGCTTTTTATGACCTCGGCTGATTTTTCGGAATGCCTCTTCAACATAATCGTGATGTGTTCGGCGAGAGAAGTGCATCGTGACTGGATGCTGTCGCCCTTCGACTTCAATAACGGGCGGAGGAGTAGAAAAGAGTGTCGGATTCATTGTCAAGTCTTCGATTCGTAGAGTAGCGGACATGATGATTAGTTTTAGCGGTTTCACGGTAGGGTCTTCCTGGGCAAGCTCAGTTCTCAGCTTTATCACTCGACTAAGCATGCCAATCAGAATGTCGGTGTTGACGCTCCTCTCGTGTGCCTCGTCGATAATGATAGCCGAGTACTTGCGGAGTGTGATATCTTGGGCAACTTCTCGAAGCAAGACACCATCCGTCATGAACTTGATTGCGGTTTTGGAATCAACGTTGCCTTCGAATCGAATTTGGTAGGCTACCGCAGTCGAGTGGTCGCCAAGCTCGTCTGCAACTCGCTTGGACATACTGACGGCGGCAACCCTTCTTGGCTGTGTGATGCCAATCATACCCGGTGTTGGGGAGTCTGGGGATCCGTATCCGGCTTCGTAGAGGAATTGGGGGACCTGAGTAGTTTTACCAGAACCTGTGGAACCGCATATAACCACAATGTCATGATTGTGAATAGCCTCCATAAGTCTTTGTTCTTCTGAAACAACTGGAAGCTTGAGCCTCGCCTCTTGGACCTCTGGATTCCTGACAACTGTTACGCTAAACACTTTTCGTGATGTATTCTCCGTTGGCAGAAGTTCCATAGGCAAAGGATCCTGCTCTGGTGCTCGGGGTACAAAGTTTTCAGGCTTTGGCATCTGCATAATAGAGTCGCCGGCCTCGGTAGGCTCAAACCCTAGTGCTTCATTGCGCTGCTGGTAAGCCCAGGCTTTGAACGCTGATGATCTCTGGGCCTTTTGCTCTCCACTTATTTCCTCCTCCTCTTCACTGGACTCATCGTCTTCCGAATCGTCTTCGCTAGACTCTTCTTCCTCGTCTTCCTCGTTATTATCAGAACCACTCTCGCTGGATGCAGAGGCATGTTTGTCGTTCGAATGAATATTTGTATCCTCGTCGCCGCTAAATCCGTTCCATTCATCTTCACTCTCAGAACTATCGGATTCTTCGGATGGAATGTGTTCATCGAAGACTATAGGGGCCTTTGTCTTGATTCCTCCACGCTTTTGCCGCTTCTGGATGACTGGTCGGCCCTCGTCGTCGACTTCAAGCGGTCGCTTAAGGCCTGATCCAACAGGTTCTACACCCGCGGTAGTCTGGCCAAGAGTTTTCGTTTCAACTGGCGCTACTATTGATTGCTCTACTTCGTCGGGGGCACTGCCTGCGTCGTCCTCCTCGTCCTCCTCGTCCACCTCTGGTCGTTTCGCAAAGATGATTTCCTCCGCATCCAAGGACAGGTCGATACCGGCTCTGTGTTCCCGCAAAGCGCGAGACGCTGCTTGCTTCTTGGTTTCGCGCCCTTGACCTAGAGACTTGCTGCTGGTGAAGAGACTGGTATCGATCTTCGTCTCCGCGAGCTTGGCAAGAAGTTCTCTGTTCTCATCTTTCCTGAGCTTGGTGTCAATGTATTTTTCCAGGCGCTTGGCCTTTTTGCTATTCATCTTGGCACCATCTTGCTTCAGCTCTTCTTTCAGGCGAGCCCTCTTTTCTTCAAGCTCCTTCTTCTGGTCCGGGAGAATATCTTGGTTGGTGTCTTGGACTTCATGGCGAGCATTTTCTTGGGCTTTTTCACGAGCTAGCACCTTGTGCTTTCGCTGTCGGGGAACAAATTTAGCCATATTGAGGCTAGAGATGAATGTCTCTAGGGCATGGTTTTCAATGATTTGGTGAGTGGTCAATCGTCAATTGGCGATTTACTTCAGTATGCGCCGACGATAACCACGGAAATTTTGGTCGCAAACCGATTCTGCCATGAGTGACCGCCAAAATCTTTATCTAAATTTGGGTTAGTGCGGGGGACCCCTGCTCGAAGCTCCCGCGCACTGTTGGAGCCTCAACTTACCCTGGATCTCAGAAACAGATTTCCAGTGTGAACATCTACAGTCATTATCGAATCAGGCAAGAAGGCAACATGGCGACTCAACTTGCAAGAGAAGAATTGTTCCCGGCAAAGAGTCGAAGTGCCTCTGGGCTAGTCAATGGCATAGCCACTGAAGCAACATCGACGCAATTCTCAGACAGAATCTTGGTTACTCTGTGCCAGGAGGGACGTCTGTCACAATGGGTGCGCTGAATACCACGAATCATCATTTGCAAATAACTAATCTTATCAAGATCCAAGTACCGCTCACAGGCTCTTCATCTGGTACGGTGGAAATGACTCTCCCAAGCTCCAGCCAAGGTCTACTACCTTCAACACACCTAACTCCCAAGACTCTTCTTGGCGGAGGCGGCGATGATCGAGAGACATTGGGACAACTCTATGCATCACAGATTGCTAGCCACATATCACTACGGTCTCCTGAGGACAGAAGGACTGTTGTTGTAGGGCTTGGATTGACCAAGGTAGACACTGAGCGGGAAGCCTTTTTTGATCTATTTGAACTGGCTCTGAAAGTGTTGTGAGGGATGTATTAAAGTAAGCAGTTGATCTTAATCAAAGATGCAAACAAAAAGTTCTCAGTAGTGACTGAGCCCTATATCTTGAATGCAATGATCATCTAATAAGTGATGGATGAGTTTCTGGCAATTTGGCAAGGATGAAGAAAAAATGGACACACGGGGAATTGAACCCCGGACCTCTCCCAGACTCATCTACTTATTCAGTGGATAGGAAAATGCTAAGGGAAAATCATACCACTAGACCATGCGCCCTGATTGGTTGTGTTGAGTAGTTAGTTAATGAGTTTCATGACCGATGTAGAAGGCCATCTAGACTACGGTTGCATACTACAGTAGTTGAGTCTTCCAACTAGCTGTGCAAGACCGATCTAGGCCTTACACTTTCACTTCAAACTTAGCAAACTAAGCCGTATTTAGCCAAATCTGGGATGCTAGTTATGTTCAGGATGCTCTCGAATAGACGGCTTTACCGCAACTTCCTTTTTCACTGCAATTTTAGCGCTGTCGGAGAACCTTGCGCTCTATCATGGAATATCTAGAGTTAGATTGGATCGCCTCACTTTTTTCCCCGTCTTTTCACTGCAATTTTAGTGCTTCTAGAGGACATGAGAGCGGAATCAATACTGCTCCAAATCCATGGATAGTATTTGACGATATCGCCTCAAGAAAGTCATACGCCTAGCCCAGTGTGCTCGGATTACTCACCGTGCTCTCGCTTTTTTTAAAAACGTTCTGACGGGGCAGTCTTTAAAGCTCCAATCTCGTCAATAGCTTGCTTATTGGTGTAAACCCCAGATTTATGAGCTGGCTTAAAAAGCTAATGTCTGTTTGTGTTGCAATGAATGATCCTGAGGATTCGGTGCGACGTCCGACTCATGTTTAGTCTCTGAGGTTGCGCTGCACTTAATTCCGTCAAATTCCACTTCTAACTCCGGCATATTAATTCCGCCTTAAAACTCAAGTTGATCCCGCTGTGTAGCATGAAATCGTATAAATGACTGGGACTCAATTGTTTCGGTTGAATGCTCCCAAGAGACTGGGTATTGTGATATTGCCGTAAGACTTGAGACTAGGAATCATCATTCGAAGCAGCCTACATTTACTTCTCAAGGCTATTGATCCCAACTAGGTCTCACAGCAATTATATCATTTTTTATTATCTATTTACGATATTGAAAGCTGCCAGTCATCTCCTCCAACATGGCATCCAACTACACCAAGTGCCTGGTTTGGGGTAAAGGTAGCCCCTTGATCGCCACAGCCACCACAAGGCCCACCACTATCGAGCCTACTGAAGTCATGATAAGAATCAAGGCTATTGCAATAAATCCGGCTGATTGCAAAATGATTGATCAAGGTCATAGAGTTACCGAATGGCCTTTCGTGCCAGGCCTGGATGGCGCTGGTGTCGTTGAGGCTGTTGGTGATAAAGTGAATAACTTTGCCTCTGGGGATAGGGTAACTGCATTGTTTGCGCCCGGAGATCGGGGTGGTTCGTACCAAGATCTTGCTGTGGTACAAGAGACGAGGGTGGCCAAAATTCCGACGGCCTGGTCGTTTGAGGATGCTGCAACTTTGGCGTACGTTTTCTCATTCTCCTCCGCAGCCATTTTGTTACTCTCGTCCTCGGCTGTCATGAAGATACGCATGTATCCTAGACTAACTTGTGTATGTTTAGTGTCTGTTACTACACCGGCATAGCGGCACTCGGAATTGGCCTGCAGAGTTCACTGCCATTTGTCGGGGACGGCCCGTTGACTGACTTCAAGCCATCTTCCGTCCTGGTCTTGGGCGGCAGCTCTGCCCTGAGTGCAGCAGTAATCCAACTTCTTCATCTTGCTCTCCCAGATTGCAGAATCTTGGCAACTAGTTCACCAAAGCATCATGATCACATCACTAACAACTTGGGTGCCGATAAAGCCTTTGACCGGAATTCGACATCGCTGGTCGCAGACGTAAAAGTAGCAAGCCCAAGTTCTCGCGGCGTTGATGCCATCATTGATGCTGTTGGCGCCGGTGCCACAGAACGATACATCTTTGAGACATTTGACCCAGATGGACCCCGAAGGTATGCACAAGTATGGACGGGCGACGCCGAGATCCAGGTCCCCAGTGGCGTGAATTCGATGTTATTTAGGAGTCGCGATGTGCCCCAGCTGCAAGGGGCCGACAATATGATGCAGGCGTTGCAGACATTGCTTGAACAAGGCAAGTATAAGCTGCCACTTCCCGTGCAGAATGTAGGAAATGGACTTGGGGCTCTTGAAAGGGGGCTAGAACTGATGCGCAAGGGTGTGAGTGGAGAGAAGTTGGTGGTTACCGTATAGTACTTAGACGGTATCGTTGGGCAGACTTGCACTTGTCATCTCCTCAATCGGGGGTTATGAATGAGCAACCGGCGGTTGCAGTGGAGCAAGAAACCTTATGAAATACTTTTACATAATTAAACTTATTATTATAACCCCGTTTAATGTTCAATATGGGGATTGCTCTGAATAGCAGTGATGCTAGCTCCATATGTGGCTTCTGATGTACCCACGTCGTTATTTTCTATTCGTATTGAGTAGTCCGTCTGGACTGTTATCCCTCCACTTGGACTCCCAGAGTCCCTCCTCACGATATGTTCGCTCGAGTCCATGCTTGCACTTTCTTCATCCTTGTCTATGATAGAGTACGGACCAGCTGGCCGCGGCTCGCGATCAACGCTGCGAAGGTCGGATAGAGGGATCTTGCCGCTGTGAACCGTGTGACTGCCGTTGCTGCGACCTCCCGGCGTTTGTCCCGATGAATCGTGACTGGCGTTCCAGGCCATGGACTTTATACCGAGGACGTGTACGCAAAAGAGACACCAGAACTCTTCCACCATCTTGAGCACCGTTGGTACGCAGGCGGAAATACAGGCAAAGTCAACTTCGAGCTGAGATACGAGGAGACCAGTGATATTACCATCTAGGGGGGCGTTAGTCATGATTCTCCTTATCCATGCGAACCATGGTGATCTGCGGGGGAGATATGCTTACAGGTCAGATCGCCCTTTGAGTGGGCAGATGTGTATAGGCCGTAAAGACGCACAGCCCCGAGAACCGTCTCACTTTAGAGTTGTCAGCAACGGGCAGATAAATGAGGGCACATTAGGCTTGGCAAGCCGTGATCGACTAACCCGACAGCTAGAGCGCTCATAATAGTCGCAATGGCGTGCTTGCGCTTGTATGTGATGCTGGTTTCGTATTAGCATCTGTTGTCATGAAATACTCTTCGTGGCACTTACCTGGCAAACAACCACCAAGGCAGCACTGCCATGACAGCCGTGGCAGAGACGTTGATAGCAGCATGGGAGTACCAGAACGGCGGTAGAAAGAAACACTGGCTTTGGTCGAGGGTTTTGTTCCAGTTGCTGCGGAATGCGGTACCGCACTGGAAGACGGTGGCCAAGGAGGTGGCAAGGCAGTATAGCCCTATATAAAGGGCGAAGCACTTGCAGAAGAGATTGAAGCCGCGCATTTGAGGCATGGAGATGGCGAGAAGGAGGAATAGTGTTGCTATCTTGGCGATGCCGGACAGGAACTTGTACAACACTTGGTAGACGAAGAACAGTTTGAGAACGGTATGAGCCTGTCTTGGACTCAAACTTGAGGTGTGAAGGCCGTCTCCCCAACGCACGCCGGCGTAACAGACGGCAGTCAAGGCTACAGCTATGGTCTAAAAGACATGTCAGTTTAGCTTTTCGTCACTCAAGCTTTCAAAAAGTAAAGCGAACTTACGTAGGAAACAACGACAGTGATGTCTGACATCAAGATCCAGAATCTAGACTCGCCATACTGAAATTTTGTCGCCTTGGCTGGAGTTTTATATCGATATCGACCCCATAACCGCATGGCAACCACGATGGTCATGAATACGAGAACGATAGAAACGGCGATGTCGAGTTCTTGCCCGCGCGGGTTGTCCAACACGGGCGGCTTCGTCGAAGTATTTGGCGCTGGAGGCATGGCTGGGAACTAGCCGTTCCCCTTGGATGAAGGGCTATAACCGTGCCGACGAAGAAGAGGAGAGGAGCAGAAACAACATGGAGCCCGACAAGGCTCTCTCGCCCGGAGTGATGAGGGCTAGTATAACAAAAAAACAGTTCACTTTGGATTCCTCAGCCCTTTGGGTATGCGACGTCCGTCGTAGTAGATCACAACATGAGATGAAGTGCGCGCAAAGAAGGTCCCAGAGGATGTAAGTCTAAAAAAGACCACCACCCCTGGTCTAAAGACGTGCGTCTCCGCGAGTAGTTTGGCTTTGAAGGGGGCGCTGTTACGTTGGTGCTGGGTCTTGGTCTCGTTTTTTTTTTGAACCAACGCTTTCGATGAGGGAGGAAATTCCGAAATGGCATTCTGCATGTTTGCCCCACAGACTTGTCTCAGGAGCTCATTCAGGTCTGCCAATGGGGTCTCTTACAGACTCACCTTAATGAATCATGTTTACGGTAGGAAGAGGTACGGTAGCATGCCGAGTCCTTTAGAGGCGCGCGAAGAATACCATGATGGAAGGAATAAGTTGGTTTCAAATGCTTCTCTACCGAACTTGCCCTGTCATGCCAGGAGCCTTTCAGTACCCCGGGTGTCGGTGTGTGTGTGTGTGTGACGCAGCACGTCACATTTACAGATGCTGGGATCAGTTGAGCAGAGTAAGACACGAGATGTACAAGTAGGTCCCCCTCCGTCAGCTGGAAAGGGCGGCCTCGGTAAGAAACAAGAGGGGAAGACACTGGCGATGCTTGGAACGAGGTAAAATAAAACAAACAAGAAGAGAGCATAAAGGCGAGTGAAACTGAACCTTGACGATCTGTTTCCAGGAGAACGGAATAACATGACGATCACTGCTGCTATCACGAATCTCTGCATACCTTTACCACAAAAAAGTTTTCAGCTTGGCAGCATGATCGGCTCATCCTCCCTTCAATGCTTCAAAGTTGGTCGTCGTCAAGATGCCCTACCTACGTAGTTTGGGGGCCATTTTGAGAGAGGGGCGTGGCTTGACTAGCAGCAAGTCGAAATTTCATCAATAGATATCACTAAACCAAGATTGTTTCTCTTGGGGCAAGTTTCGCCTTTGGAGTGGCAACCATTAGATAGTGTGCCCGTTCTCAGCAAATTTAGATCCCGTTAGCGATGGCTGGACGGGCGCAAATGTTCCCGGTAAAGGCTTAACGTCCTGTGCCATGGAGTGGTGGAGCCGGATGATCGGTTCAGGAATGGTCTTGGCCA